ATCGAATCGCATTTCCACCAATTGAACCGGAACCTTCCAATGCATAACAAACTTTTCCTTTCGGGCCAAGCTAAGGAGAGAAAAGAAAAAGCAAATGTTGTATTGTTGATAATTTTAAGTTTTTTCTTTCATTACTTTTGTCCTCTTACAATAAATCATTGCCACTTGCCAATTCTTTATCTTCTTATTTCGTTTTTTTTTTGCTCCTATTGTACGGTTAATATGTGTAAATATAATCATGAAATGTATGGTTACTTGATAAGCCAGAGTTGTTATCAGGCCACTTCTACTGATAATCATATTGCTGCCAGTATTAGTAAGCGTAAATGTACCTGTACCATAGGTACATTTTGTTTCACCTAGCTCAAAGCAACACTCACCAAACATAGCTGCTTGCTGATCACCCAAGCAACCTGATATTGGTATTCCTTTTAAAGGACCTAAATTGTAAAAATAACTAATATACAGTATGATTACAGTATGATTAGTGAAGGTGGGACTGATTCTTAATTTAGTTTCCAAAAAAAAGTTTTTTTTAATCAATCGTACAGATTAAATCAGGATTCTCTCAGTTCTTTACATTACTGTTATTTCTATTATTTTGCTACTTCAAATGTATTTTAAGTTGTTTGGATTACTTAGAAAAGTTTTTGCCTTTTTTTTTTGCATTTGCTAATAGGATTAAAAAATAACAGCACCTTAATTATTTCCAAGTATGCAACGTAACATTTTACCGCCTTATATTATCAATTTCTTTCCTAAAATCTTTCCAGAAAAATTATTGAAACCTGATCTTATTGTAGCGTATATTTCGGCAGAAGAATGAATTTTCGGCAGGATGCTCATCGGGATTTCGAAGAAATTACAAAGTTCCTCAGTCCAATTTAATGTTTGTATTGACATTAACAAAGTTCTGCTAGCATTTGTAACATCAGTGATGTGTTCTCCGGTCAACTTATAAATTAGCCATGAATCGACAGTGCCAAACATTAAAGTTCCTTAATATAAATTTTTCATATTTGCTAAATTAGGAAAGAAACCCTTAAATGCAATTATTTTCGGAAGCAATTAATTTTAAATAATTTAGCATTTTTATTCATTGGCTTAAATTAATATGAAATGACTGGATTTTTCTATAATAAACTTTCAAATTGTCCAGAAAAAATATTTGTTAACAATACAATAATTCTACTCGATTATCAATGCTTCTGTTGGTATTTTTTGAATTTTTTAATTGAAATACGTTCCGAATTACAGTTACTTGAAATTTAAAAGAGTTAAATTACATATTGCAAAAATTACATATTCAAATTACATATTGCAAAAATTTTTTTTCATAAAAAAGCAAGCTGAAATATTTTTTCTTCCATGGCACAAAAAATCTGATTGATCAAATCTTTGCAACTTTTTTCTTTTTTTTTTTTTCTAAAATTATTCTTGCAAAGAAGAGAGAGATTTACCTTCCTCCAAAGCATTTTTCACCCCATAAATGTTATCCATAAGCCAACGAATTTTCAGCGCGCTAAAGTATGAATGTATTGGAAGGCCCGTTATTTCTCCATACTGATTACGAGATCTGAAATGTAAAAAACGGCCAGAAAAATGGCTCATAAAAAGTGCGAAAATTTTTCTTTTGATTTCTGATAAATGATGTATGCTTTGTGAAATTTCGAAATTGTAAATTGCAATGTAATTTGCTTTTTTCTTTTTTAGAAAATAATAAAACTTTTTAACAGGTTGACAAAAATTTTCTTTTTTTTTTTAATTATATTTTTAGGAAAAGAAAATTTAATAGTGAACAATAAAAATTACGATAAGCTACTAAACATTTTATTTCTTTTTTCAATTATATCGAATTCAAATTTTAGAGCGTGAAATAATCTGTTTCTTTTTCTTCTTCTTTCTTACAAGCTTACTTATCTATCACTGTTTCATCTGTTACTGTTGCTTATTTGTCACTATTTCACCTATTATTGTAAAGAGAATATTCAAATAAGATTTTATTTATTTCGTAATTCGAATTTAATTGACAAACTCGGAAACTTACTTGTTACTTGTTTTTTCAATAAATAATTGGACAAGATCAGTTGCTCGATCGTCAAGCCAACAAATAGCATTATAAAGAGCTTTGCCCGTTCTATTGTTCCATAAAATTGTCGTTTCTAAAAACTCCATCAATTCCATTATTTCATGCGATTTTTTTTTCTCAAATATTTATTTTGAAACAAATAAATTTCATAAATTGACTGAATGATTGAGATTGAGAAAAATGACTGAAATGTGAAGAAAAAAATTTTTTTTTTTGTCACTTCAATTAGAATTCAGATATGATTAGCTTAATTATTAACCTCTCTGATTGCAAATTCCAATTGCTTTAATGTCATCAATATCGAAGCCTTTTTTTTTAATTATGTTACAGCTTTCATCAATGCATTTCATTGTTGTATTGATTATTTCTTCAGGATCAATTTCAACCCACCCCGGATGTGGAAAAATTTGCTCTATTTCAATCTGAAATATTTATCAGATCATTTCAAACCGTCATAAATTTCACATATTTATTAAATCACTCACATTCTTAAATATCACAGAAGAATACAAGCTAAGAAAATGCTTTTTTTTTTTTGTTCATTTTTTTTGTTTTAAAAAACAAAATTTTAAAAACAATGATTAAAATTAATTGTATCTTTCATGTGTCTCATAACTTTCGTTGCACAATTTCACCCCATTAGGTATACAAATTTTAACAATTATATTATTTTAAATGTATCATCTTAAACGAAAAATGAATGTACCTGATGACTAGCGATAATTTTTCGAGGATTCAATTGATAGATAATAAATCGGGTAGACGAAGTGCTCTGGTCGATAGCACCAATAAGCTTATTTTTAAGTTCCATTATTTTTAATTACCGCTTTTACTTTTCAATAAGTATTGATAAAATTGAAATTTCCACGGATTATAACTGATTCGTTACTGTCAATAAAAATATCATTATTAAAAATCTTAACAAATTTTTGCTAATTTTCACGAAAACAAATTAATTTCCCAATAAACTACAAAATAACATATGAAATACTTCTCATTTTCTCTACTATTACTACCAATTAACACTTTGAATTTATTTAATATGGTTGGTTCTGCGTAGCTTTTCGATAATTCAAATACACATCGAAGCAATTTCTTTTACATCATATAATATATATATAATTTCATTTCAACTGCAACGAATGATTGATCTACAATTTAGTTTCATTTTTGAAAGCTGTAATACGAACATTTTTAATTTTTGATCCCATTGCTGTAATACGAACATTTTTAATTTTTGATCCCATTGCTGTAATACGAACATTTTTAATTTTTGATCCCATCAGTTGAAAATAAGAAAGTTGAATGTTCTCTGTTTACCACGAGGATAAAAAATTCATTCAACTCCAACGGCAATTTTTGATTGAAAAAAAAAAATGATAAAGAATTAAATAGTTACTATAAATGTGAGCCGTAGTTAGAAATACATCAAAATATAAAATTGAATTTTCTCTTTTAATTTTTCTTTTAAATACAAAAATTTCAATTTAGTATTTGCACGTACGAAATTACCTCGCTGACCCTCTAAAATTTATGTAACATTTGAAATTCAAAATTATCCGAAAAATCAGATCAAAGAAGATAGTAGCAAGCAACTCAAAATCATTACAAAATTATCTCATTTTCTGTGATGTTCGGTTTTGTGACAATCTGGATTGATATTCTAAGTGTTCTAAATAAATAATGAATTAGTAGTGAAGGTCATGGGAAATCCAAAATAACCTTAATGTTATAAAGGTATTTAAACAATCAATGTGCCTTTTATATTCTTTTTGAATAACCTTATCGCCAAACGATTCTTTGTTTATAATCACTTTCATGTACAAAATGATCAGTTTGTCTGTTTATTATAAATACTACTCGACAGGCATTTCCGAACTGTATAACTTACTATAAAAAACCGTCTTACCGTTTGTCCGGTAAATTGAACATGTATACTCCTCTGAATCAATACCTCAACCAATAGTCCTAAATTATTCTCCTGGAAGAACCTATATCGAATAATTCCTGTTATGATAGCAAGAAGGAATAAAACTCTCCATCAAATATTAATTAATCTATCATTACAATTCGGTTGTGCCACACAAACTTATCCCTCAGAAGGAATCTTTAAACGATATCTATCTGTAAATTTGATTTATATATCGAGCAATAAATTGTCATGGCAACATATTTTATTGCTATGACGATGAATTTTGTAGGAAAATTTAATTTTTAACTAATTATTGTAAAATGTCGAAAAAATTAAAATGAATTGTCACAGATCATTTTAAATCCGCTTTTTTTTCATGATTTTTTTCAGTTCTTCTTTCTTCAATTAAAAATTCTTTCTAAATCCCCTTAAAGTTATTTATCAATACAGCACTTTTTAAATAACCATCTGCAACAGCAATATTTGCTCATATTTGTTTAAAATGTGAGATTCTAATTTCAAATCAACATAAATTTAAATCCAAATTTTTGCAAAAATTTTTTGATCAAGAAAACACCACCCATCTAATTTACTTCTCGCTTATCTTTGTTAGCATTATTGATAGCAATGTATATTCGTAACAGTTTCAGATTTAAAAAAGATGGAAAATTTTTGAAGGCTAAATCATGAATCACTTCCTACATATTATCGTTCTTACTATTCTTCCTTTCAGCCAACCCTCTAGGATGGATGGAATTTATAGTACCAATGCTATTATCAATGATATTAGCAATACATCATTATCTTTGTGCAGATGTGTTTATCAGTTGAAATCATTACTATATGCATTTTTAAATATATCAGTTCTTCTATATCGTTTCAGCAACATATTTTTCCTTTTTTCATTTATCTAAATTCAATTCAAAATTAAAATTTCCATCATAAATTTACAAAATTAAATTTTATAAAAAATTAGATTTTTGTAGAATAAATTAAATAGATTCTAAGTTTTAAAAAATTGGAAATATTTTTTTGTATTAAATATAAAATTTTGTCAAATATATTATCGTAACGTTTTATTTCAAAAAAAAGGAGATAAAAGCAGGAAAGCTAAAAATTAAACAGTATAACCAAATAAAACATTAAATAAAACAACATACTAACATTTAAAAAATATTGATAACAGTCTGCTAACAGTTTAATTATCTACTCCCGAAAATAATAAATCAAAAAATGAATCAAAGATTATTACTGGAATACGGTAAAATTCCCCAATAAAATAAAACATCAAAAAAGATGGGTACGCCCATGTGCCAACATCATCACCAAAGCTAAACTCAACTCAAGACAAAATCCATCTGACAAATGAAAAAGTAAACAGCTAAAGACTTACAATTACTCTAAATTATACAAATGGAAGAATAAAACACCATACTAGTTAAAGAAAGAAAAATTAAAAATTCAAAAACAAAAAACCTCAAAAACTTACTAATACAATAAATACCACAATCATTTAAGTTCAATATAACACTCACCAAAATTGTACTAACCCTGATTAGAGCCTAAATATATGAACAAAATACACAAGAAACTTAATTAAAAAACAAACTCATGAAGTATTAAAAAAATCATAATAAGCAAAAAAAAAACAAAAACAAAAAACACGACTACTCAAAAACAAAATAAGGCATTCCAAAAAAAGTATGAATACAGAAAAAAATCAAAAAATTAACGAGCACTAACTTTTCCAACCTGTAATTCACATCCAAGCAAACAAAACAAAACTTAACGCATAAAAAACATGAAGCATTAAAAAACTACAGAACAAAAAAAAAACAATTATTATAAAAAAAATTATAAAAACCAAGACCATTATAAAAAAACCAAGTCACTCAACAACTTACCTAAGACAAGACACAAAAAACTTATAAAAGACAAAAAGAGCA